TCAAACACATAAGAAGGACCATGAAAATCATACATTCAAACACAAGACTCATACTTGAAAAAATAGTTTGCAGTTTGCAAAATAATGTCATAAGAAGTTTCAGAAATAGTTGATTTTTCACTCTTTACACTTTACGAAACAGTATTACAAATCAACAAATAGTCCATTTTTTCAGTAATTATATGTCATCTAACTACAAATATATGGAAATGAGACACAGAAAACAGAAAACAAAATCATTGTACGAAACTATACTATAAATTTAGACTTTGCAAAATAGTGTCATAATATAGTTTTAGATATAATTCCAGTTTGCATAACAGTGTTACGAACAAGAAATAGTTTCATTTTTCACTTTTAATATGTCATCGAATGTTATAATATGATCTCATTATCTGTCATACTTATTTGTTTATCCAAAAAAAAAAATGCAGATTGGATTGTGGCATATTTGTCATTCAATTTGCAACCCAAGTGCAAGAGGGCAAAACCAATAGAAGCCACCTTTAAGAAGGAAGAAGTATTTGCCAAAAGAGCTCAAATTGCAACTACACTTGTGAATCACGAGAATAGTTATGCAAATGGACTGAAGAAGATACTTGAAGATAGAAGACAACAAAATAAACATGGTCAATATGATGACATTCCTAATGAGGATTTTATTACATTAGCTTAAGTTTTACAAATTACATTTTATATCAATGTACATCTACATACAAAACCCCGAGCTCAGGTGGGCTTGTATGCTGGTGCCCATCCCATACTTGCGTACGTTTTATAATTTTTTTGCCCTAGGGGGCCTAATACCATTACTCATCTAAAGAAACCATATAAAAATGAAAAAGAAGTTTAGTATGAAGCCAATCAACTTCACATACCTGATTCTTTGAGTTATAACTTATAAGAATGAGAACTATATTAAAAATTTTCACATGCTTACATTTTGACACTTCCTTTTTTGTTAAAGTTCCCTTTTATTATCCAAAAAATATAGTTACCAAATTAGATAAATTTATGCAAAACAAAAAACTAGATAACTTAAACTGTTTCTGAAATATATGTACACACTATATCTAAAAAATGAAAAATAACAGCTTTTTTTTTTTTTTCAGTTCCAAATCAGCACCCCATCCTTCACGCATAATTAACGCCCAACAAAAATCATCATTTCACTCTTGCGCTAACTTCACTTTCTCTCCCTAACACCACTCCCATTTTCACGCACAGATAAGCCACGATGAAGAAACTGCATGCACTATAAAAAAAAAAACCAGAAACCCAGCCCCCAGCTCAAATCATCAATCCTCATTTCCCGATTTCGTACATCATTCCAGTTCTTTTACGGACGAATTCACGCAAATTTCAACTTCGCTGAGCAACTTGGTCGCAGAAATACCCAGAAAATAAACAAAAGATAACAATCTTACAATTTTTCTCAACATATTTCACAAAATCATACGGTTCATTATTTATATAACAAACATCTACTGGAATCAAGCATATAGAATAACATGCATCAACTTAAACAAAACCTAGATTATACTATTTGCTTAAATTTATTTTGTTATTTACTATCAGTACGAATCCATCACAGATCCACCCAAGAAGACTATTTACTAGCTAATCGTTCAATATATAAACATACATTATGCTATTACACGAACTAGTGTGATTCTCTGGTTGTAATTTTTATATTTGAGTAAAATAGTTCACGATTTTTAAGTTTAATAAACACTGTTTACGAAATAGTTTACAATTTGCTTCATTTGTAAATAGAATTGAAATGTACGGAAATAGTAAAATCTGGGATGCATTCACGAACAAGTAGTATAAACATATATTACGCTATTGCACGAACTAGTGTGATTGTCTGTTAATAATTTTTACATTCAGTAAATAGTTTGTGTTTTTTAAAGTTTAATAAACAGTGTTTACGAAACAGTTTACAATTGCTTCATTTATAAATAGAATTGCAATTTTTCTAGATCTTACACATAATACACCTCCTATTGTACATTTTTATTTCTAATTTATTTAGTTATATGAATCTTATAAAGATTTATGCAGTTATAAAAATGTTTTCCAATTCCATAAATAGTAATTCACCTTGGTATGTCTCAAATATAATTGTGTACTCATACTGATTTTTATTTGTTTACGATCAAGTTGCATTCTAATAAAAACTATATTGACAGATGGTTTCAGTTAGAATAACTGTACAAATGTCAAACTTAACTAAAGCCAATGTCAAAATGATATCCAAAACAACAAAGAGGACAGAACAAAGGAAAATGCTTGGAAAAATAGAAAACAGATCACGTACGAAGAAGGAGACAATTCATCTACAGATTGACATCACTACTGAAGAAGAAGTTGGAGAACCAATGCAAATTGCAAAAAAAAAAGGTGCAAAAAAACAACCACTACAAAGGCAGAGGAAGAGGGAGACACAACCTAAAGAACAGAAAAATTGTGAATCAAGGATGCAGAAGAAAAGATGTCAAACACTCCAACCACCAACAGCAATCAAGAGAAAGAAAAAGGAAAATGACAAACCAGTTCCAAAGAAAAAGAAAAAGGAAAATGCCAAACCAGTTTCAGAATCAAACAAGCAACAAATTGAAGAAACAGATATTGAAGTTCTAAAAAGCAACAATGTTCTTAACAAGAATGATCTACAAGTCAAAAAGCAAACATTCAGCCAAAAAACAGCAAAGCCAACGACAAAAAATAGAAAGAAACTCTTGGGTGAAATTCCATCATTCAACCTGGATTTAAAAGATGAGCCTTCTTCACAACCGGATGACCTTCCAACAACAAATCACATAGACAGCAGTGTGAATTGGACATAACTTCAAGTGTACAAGATGCTGAAACCAGATGATAGAAGAAGACTCAATTCTGATCAATAGACAGCAGGTAAGTAATACAAAACAAAACTCTTAACTGAAGTTTTTACACACTCCCATAACTTTATAAGCATTGACGAATTATTGTATAACTAAAACTTTTGCACTGTCCTGCAACGATGTATACTGGACGGCTGAAACTACAGATTTCAACTATTACAGAATAATGGTGTTGAAAGAAGACCTGCACAGTTTGATGGCAAATGGACCTACATCAACTCAGATTGTTGATTCTTTCTGCTACATGAAAAGAGAAAAAGAGAACATCACGAAACAAAAGAACTTCTATGTCTCCACGACAATCTTTGTGAGCAAACAAAACAACTAATATTCTGCAAAAAATTATTTACATATACATATAAAAATTAGAACAATTAATATGTAATTATGATGTTTGATGATTTTCATTTTCAACAGCACAACATCAATGAACAAAGTATTGAAACAACTCTGCAAAACAAGGAAAGGTTTTACAACCAATTGATAGACCAATATGGAATAGTATCAAAGATTTTCTTCCCATTGTTTCATTACAACCATTTCTCCTTGGTAGTTTTGGACACAAAAAATGTAGAAATGATTCACTACAATTCTCTTCGACAAAGCACAACAGATGAAGATCTGGACTTTGATTGCTACTGGGAAAATGCAGAAATTGTGGTAAGCAAAAACGCACAACAAAAAACTCTGTCATATTTATAGAAAACAATCATCTTATTATTACATTATAAATTTTTGCAGGGCCACTTTGTTCAATATTGGCTGGATAAAGCAAGAAAATCAACAAGCAATTCAAATGCTATGGATTCAACTCAAGCCACAACGAAGAAAATTAATTCCATCAAAAGTGACTTTGAATTCCAAATCAAAGAAGACAGAACCTGTGCACAACAGAAACCAACATCGTACGTTATAAAATTAAAAGCATTTTAGTTATATATATGTATAGTTTGTGCTTACTGCAGTTTCAGAAACAATATGAATAATTTGATACTGTTATAGAAATAGTTTGTACCACACATTTCATTTCATTTTAATACTCATAATCATTCCATGAATTTCTTTGTAAATCAGATTAGATTGCGGCTTATACATGATGAGCTTCATTGACCAACTATCAACTAACCGGAAGGTTCAAGGATGTATCAAAGATCATCAAGTAATGAAAGCAAGGAAACATATCCTCGTGGATTTGATGAACCATGATTTCAGCTGTACAAGGGAACAAGAAGCATATATCGAAATCTCACAACAACTCACAAGCATTGGACATTAGAATAAAAAATAAAAAATACGCATTATATGTAATTTTGATTCGGATGTACTTTTTAAGGCTCAAGATGAAAATCTGAGAGATGGTGGAAAGTATTGGTCTAAACTGAAGCAATACTTACATATTCAAGCTTACTTTTGCTATGATTTACAAATGTCATTGTCAAACATGTTTGACACAACTCTCTGTATATATATATATATGTTTCATGACTTAATCTAAATTTTAATCTATTTTGATAAATAGTTCAATTTGCTTAGTTAAAAAGTGTGGGTTTCTAGTTCAGTTTGATAAATAGTTCAGTTTGCTTTGATAAAAAAATGGTTTTCTAGTTCACTATCATAAATAATTCATTTTGATATATAGTTCAGTTTGCTTTGGTAACAAAGTGTGGTTTTCTACTTCACTTTCATAAGTAGTGTGGTTTTTTTTCATTTTCTCTTACCTAAAATGGAATATTAACTAGATCAATAATGAAAACCAACATACTTGCCTCCTACAAAATGCAACACACAAACTTACATACAACCTACAAAACAGATATTGAAACCACAAAGCCATAAACATAGATATGTATTCACTGTTTATCAAACTCAACTATTTATCAAACTGAATTATTTATCAAACTCAACATACTGTTTCGTAAAACTGGAAATACTAAAACATTGAATTCATATTTATTACTCAAACATAATTCCAAATCAACAATTACATACTCCCAAACACCAATTGAAACAAAATAAAAAAAAATATCCAAAATGAAAATCTAGTACATATCACCAAAAACTCTCATCTCTCAAAACAAAAAAGAAAAAAAATCAACCCTCTTGTATAACAACTTTACATGAAACCTTGTTATGTCCCGAACAACCACACCTACTACAAGTGACAGTCTTCTTACTCCCACTGATTTTCCCAGCAGATTTGATCCTAGTTTTCTTTGGTCTTCCAGACGGAATCTTTGTAATTGGAGGCCTCACACCATTTATGATAGTATCAACATTCGGCTTTTCCAAATCTGAAAATGGATGCATGACAAATTGATATGTTTTCCGATAAAAGCTTGCTTTCCAGTAATCATCAACGTAATAAAAAACATCACGATTATCATGTTGCAACACCTGCAAAGCATGAGAACATGGGAAACAATTATGCTGCCATTGCACACAAGAACATTTCCTATCATCCAGACAAACAACAAACTGATTCCACTCTGTCCTAACTTCAAAAACATCCGCATCAGAACGACTAATCCTCCAATGCATGCCCTCCTTCAACATCAACTTCATCTCATTTTCTTTCTTTGGACACAAAATCGTATGAATATTCTGACCAAATATTTTTTTCTCAGCCATACTACCCATCAACAGAACTCTAATGTCTTCAAGAAGATCCATAAGTGGCATACAACGACTATTCGACACCATGGCGTTAAAAGATTCTGAAAGTGCATTGCTTATCGATCCCCATCTCTTACCAGGAAAATAGGCAATAGCATAATTCTCTTTTGGCAAATCACACAAAAAATTCTTCACATGCCCTTGCCCATTATCCTTGAATTCAGCCATGCAATCATCAAAATCAGATGGGGTACATGCGTACGCACAATTTGCCAACAGATTCATCATTTTCTTCTTTAGTCTTTCACCAGCAGCCTTTGGAAATAAAGTACTCACATTCTGTTTCAAATGAACAATACAAAATGAATGTGGACACTCGAGAAAGAATTCTTGAATGTTCTTCAAAATACCATCATGTCTATCCGACATAAATGTGATCACCCTCCCTTGAGGCCTCAATATACCAGATAATATTGCCAAGAACCATCTCCAATTTGCTATCGTTTCTGAATCAACAATAGCATAAGCAACCTCAAAAATCTCTGCACAGCAAAAGTAAAAATGCACTGTCAAATGTCAACTACTTCTGAAACTGTAATTGAACTATTTAGTATACTTTGTTTGAATTACTTCTGCAGCCTTTTTTCTTTATTTGAACATAAAATCAAAGACCAATGCACCAAAAAAAGAAAAGAAAAAAAAAACAGATACAATCAAAGTATCACCTATTTATGAAACTGATTGAACTATTTCTTAAACTGTTCTTCAACTAGTTCTGGATATGTTTCTTTTGCACAGTAAGAAAACATAAACAAATAATATCCAATATAAAAGTCTAAAATTATTAACTCACCATCGTTACCATTTTTTGCACAGCAAGACAGAAGTGTTCCCTTGTATTTGTTCTTGATAAAAGTACCATCAATGAATAACATCGGGCGACAAAACATGAAACCTTTTATCCATGCATCATAAGCAATAAACAAACGAAGAAATCTATTGCTCTCCGGTACAACTTCAAGCTCAAAAACAGATCCAGGATTGCTTGAACGAGCAGATTCAACATACCAAGGCAAGAACTTGTAAGCATCAACATCATCACCATTTAACTCAAAAACTGCCATCTGTTTGCCAAAATAGGCAGTAGAATAATCGATATCTAATCCATAAAACTGTTATAAATTTGAAATGATCTCCTTCGGTTTAATAAGAGGATTTGATTGAACCTTATCCTTGATGAGAGAAGCAACAAACTGTCGGCCAACAACTTTGTTTTTCTTCTTTCGAATCATACCCTTGCATGTATGCAGATTATGCAACTTCCGAATAACAAAAAAGTTATTAATATCACACTTGGATGCATACACACGCCAAAGACAGCCATCAGATTCCTTCCTAGAACACTCCGCACTAATGCGATTCTTATCATTCTTCAAATACTTCAAATCAAAACCACATTCAACAGAAAACTTCTTCAACTTATCTCGGAAATCAACACAACCTCCCCTAAAGACTTGCCCCTCAGATTTTATGTAATTGTCCTATTCACATGACATATAATTGTGCACACCGTAAGAACCATACTTTCCTAAATGATCATTTTCACTAGAAACAATCATAGAGTCTAATGTACGGCAAGAAGATGATGTGCTTTCCGAAGGTAACTGAACTATGGAACCATCACATTTGTCTATAACCAATATTTCTACAATTGATTTCCCAACAACATCAAGAATCATCAACATGTTTAGAACATCGGCATCACAATCTAACACGCAATTAGGATTTTCATTCAAACCATATCGCAACTCAAAACAACCAACTCTCAAACCCTTAAACCTAGAACAAAGATCAATGCAAATCTGATTGAAGGTAGAAGATGATGAAATATAACTAATGACGCATAAACCACCATATGTAAACCGAGCTAGTTTACCATTCTCCATAACTGTTTATTAATAAACAACAACTGTTTATTAATCGGTTGCAAATCTAAATTCAAATCTTTATAAAACAAATCAGTACCTAATAATTAAACAATATGCATATAAAATGAACAAAAATAACACTATTTATAAAACACAACAATCACAAAAAAAAAAAAACAAAAAGTAAACTGAAATATCCACTGTTTCGTAAAAAAAGAACACTATTTCTGAAAAATGTTAAAAACATAAAATGTGATGAACACCTATTAGTTAAACAATATACATATAAAGTGAACAAAATTACACTAGTTATAAAACACAAGAATCACAAAAACAAAAAATAAACTGAAATATACACTGTTTCATAAAAAAAGAACACTATTTCTGAAAAAATGTTAACAACATCAAATGTGTATAACACGAATTAATTCATAATAAATTTCTGAAAAAGAAAAACAAAATCAAGATGACCAACATACAATATAAACAAAGTGTGGTTTGGTAAAAAAGTGTGGTTTTCTAGTTAACTTTGATAAATAGTTCAGTTTGTTTTGGTAAAAAAATGTGGTTTTCTACTTCAGTTTGATAAATAGTTCAGTTAGTTCAGTTTGCTTTGGTAAAAAAGTGTGGTTTTCTAGTTCAGTTTGATAAATAGTTCAGTTTGATTTGGTAAAAAAATGTGGTTTTCCAGTTCATTTTGATAAATAGTTCAGTTTGTTTTGGAAAAAATGTGTGGTTTTCTACTTCAGTATGATAAATAGTTCAGTTTGATAAATAGTTCAGTTTGCTAAATAGTTCAGTTTGCTTTGGTAAACAAATGTGGTTTTCTAGTCACTTTGATAAATAGTTCAGTTTATTTTGGTAAAATAGTGTGGTTTTGTACTTCAGTTTGCTAAATAGTTCAGTTTGCTTTGGTAAAAAAATGGTTTTCTAGTTCACTTTGATAAATAGTTCAGTTTAATGAACACCTATTAGTTAAACAATATACATATAAAGTGAACAAAATTACACTAGTTATAAAACACAAGAATCACAAAAACAGAAAATAAACTGAAATATACACTGTTTCATAAAAAAAGAACATTATTTCTGAAAAAATGTTAACAACATCAAATGTGTATAACACGAATTAATTCATAATAAATTTCTGAAAAAGAAAACAAAATCAAGATGACCAACATACAATATAAAAAAAAAAAAATCAAAACTTACCTGAGATTCTTCGAAATAAGAAACTCCTAACTGAAAATTTCACAAACCGGAATCAATCTGCTAATCTGAAAACAAATCAACAACAATATATAAGTCAAATAAAAAGCTAAGCATAATTCATGCAAAAAAGAATTCAAAATCGAATTCCAATTCAAAAACAAAAAAAACAAAAAAAAAAAAAAACAAACAAACAAATCAAAACTTACCTGAGATTCTTCGAAACTCCTAACTGAAAAGTTCACAAACCGAATCAATCTGCTAATTTGAAAACAAATTAACAACAAAATCTAACCAAATATGAAAGACAATCACTCCAGTTAAAATATTCAAGCACAACGAACAACACCGATGACAACGATTCAATAGAATCTCAAAATATGCAACCACTGAGAATTTGTTCTGAAACAAATGTTTATTCCGGAAAAATAGAACAACGGCGATCACGATTTCAAAATGCGCTCTCAACATTCGTCGGCAAGCATTACTCAAACCACTCAACCAGATTCATAAAAAATTGAAAATCCCACTGAAACTGGTCGGCAAAAATTAAAATTCAATTAGTTTATATGTTTGGCTAACCCCAAACCGAGTAATCTAACAGAATAGTTAAATTAGGTTAACCACATCCGTTAGGGGTAAAATTGACAAACCACAATATTATTTAGTTTGGACTATTGTATTTGGGCTGATATAATAATGGGCTTTGTACTAACCATTAAATAAACTTTCAATGTGGTTTTTTGTTAAAAGTTAAACTTTTCAAGCCCTTTTGGTTAGTTTTCCTTTTAATAATATCAGCCATGTACTAAGTCCTATAGTTTTGTATATTAGGCCATCTCCAACTGATGGTTGGCCAGAGGGCTCGTTTTAGCCCTCTGGCCCTCCAAGATTCTCCAAGATATTAATATTTTAATGAATAGTACATGGCCATATTTGCCTCCGTCTCCAACCGAGGGTCAAAGGGCCATAGGGCCAAACATAATTTATTATTTAAATTATTGAAAAATTATTGAAGGAAATTATTGAAAAATTGAAAGAAATATTGCAGATGAAGGAAATATTGAAAAATATATTGAAGGAAATATTGAAAAATATATTGAAGGAAATATTGCAGATGAAGTGAAGAATTGAAAGAGCTTCACCATATTTATAGAAGTAAAAAAAGGTTTAAATTAAAAAAAAAATAAAAAATTTGAATACAACGGCTAGCTGCTGTTAGCTAACCGTTGTATTCAAATTTTTTCAAACTATATGTGTCAGTTATAACCGACACTATTTGCAATTCAAATTAGTATTTGTGTTGGTTATAACCGACACTAATACTAATTAATAAATATCCCAGTAGCCGTTAGCTTTAATTCATTATATTCTATACTATTCCTATCGGTTTTAACCAACAGGAAATCCAACACTTCAAAAAAAAAATTGGCCAGCTGGAAGTGGCCAGCCCTCCCCGATTATGTGGGGCCCTCCCAGATTCCAGAGCCCTCTGGCATAGCCCTCGGTTAGAGACGGTTTTCGAGCTATTTTCGACTCTCTGGCCCTTTGGACCCTTCGGTTGGAGATGACCTTATGCCACGCTACCAGCCAATCACTCTCCCTCTAAGCAAAAATTGATTCCCATGGATGGAATTAAAAGGTGTTCAATCTTCTTTTGTTGAGTAATTTTTTTTTTTCATGTTCTAGCTAACTTCTAAGAGCTACATATTATACTTCAATTTCTAGCGAATTATTTATAATTTTCTTGTATATATGTGGACTGGATTTTTGCGTGCACATAAAGCATGGAACTTTGCAGTAGTAACGGACAGTGATGTTAACGAATAGTTTGTTCAACTTTTGGTACTAGATTCTGCATATAAGTTGACTAGATTCTCATCTGCAATGTTTGTTGTGGACAGTTACGGAATAATTTGTTCAACTTTTGGGTTGATCATCTTGAGGCCTTAGGATTTTTTATTTCGTTTGGTTGGATTTGTGAAACCTCTGGGAAAGTGCCCAACATCAACATGTTTTAAAATGCAAGGTCCTTTAATTCTATAGATGATTAGAATTGACCGATGCATAGTTTGATACACATTTTGAGGCAGAGCTGGCTCTAGCCCTTCCCAGTGCCCAACAGCAACATGTTTTAATATGCAAGGTCCCTTAAATTCTATATATGATTAGAATTGACGGATGCATAATTTGATACGCATTTTGAGGCAAAGTCGACTCTGACCCAGGGCTACCAGGGCAAGAGTCTAGGGCTCAAACCGAGGAGAGTGCCAAAATAATTTTAAGTCCATTTGGATATATTGTAAACAAATTACAATAATTAAAAAATGGTTTTCATGCCACGATAAGAAAGAATTGCGTTGCTCCTTGCGCGTAAGAAAGAGAACAAGCGCATGAAAACAAATGGAAAAACCCTTTTCCCTTCCCGTCTCCCTCCAACTTCTAAATTCCCAATTTCAAAGAGCCCAACGTAAATTAAATTATCTACCTATTTCAAGAAGTGAGATGCTATTCACAACACCACTTTGTTTTACCTCCCATACATTCATATTGATTTATGTTTTTTGATATTCTTCAATTTATTTGATCAGATGATAAAAAATTAAAATGGCGTGTGAAAATGAAAATTAAGTGTGTGGATAGCACATCCCTTTCAAGAATTCACAATTATGAATTTTTTCTTCCACATTTTCTCCTCGTTCCTCTTTTCTCACAATTATGCAGAAAAAATTACAATCCAAGCAGAAAATTCAAGTCTACGGACTACAATACATGCAATTGTATTCAACCGTACAAGGTATTTGATTTCTACTCATTCAATTCTGTTTTTCATTTTACGCTGCTAGTATTTTTCTTTGTTTGATTGTTTGGGTTTTTTTTCATTGTTATTGCATTCAATTATAGTAGTAATTACTTGCATATGTAATTTCCATACAACATAGAATTAGGAAAAGATACTGTCCATCGAATTTGAAATCCTTCCCTAATACAAATAGCCATAGGAATAGGAATATATATTCAAGTTGGTAAACAAATATCGAATAAGGTACAAATACACAATCTTTCATT